GGTCCCCTCACACGGCCCTGGCTGGCCGAGACAGGGTCCCCTCACACGGCCCTGGCTGGCCTGGAACTTACTGCACACCCACACACCCGCAGTGTCTAATCGGCCTCAGCCTCCCAAGCACGGACACTGCGGGCGTGAGCTGGACAGTCTCGATGGCCCTGCCTCGGAGACGCTGAGGCAGAAGTGGCCTGAGCAGGGCCACACAGCTGGCAGAGCAGGATTCCCATCGGGCCAGCCTGGCACACTAGCCGGTGCCTCCCACATGTGCTGTGCCCTTTAATCCTGGGCACCCCACTTCTTGAAGGCTGTGGGTCCCGGTGACAGGGAGCAACTGAGATTCCTCAGGTCCATTTATACACCCACATACCCACACGCTCACACTCACGTGCTCACTCACAGGTACTCATGTGGGCGGGCTCCCGCACAGATGTGAGTGAGCAAGCACACACACACACACACACACACACACACACACACACACACACACACTGGTTTCACTAAGCTGGCCTTCTTGCTTTAGGAAGGAAGCCAACAACCCCAGGGTCCCCAGGGAGAAAACAAGCCTGCAGCGGCCAGCGTGTCTAGAAACACAGGAAGGTGGTGATGACAGACAGGAACCTGGGAAGCCCGGCTCCTGGTTGCCTTCTCTGTGCTGCCTAACAAGGACAGACAGAGGGGGCAGTGACAGAGAGGGCTGACAAACACAGAGTTTGGCGTCTCTGGCTTCTCAGCCAGGTGATGACGGACTCACGCAGCTGACTGCCGTGACCCCGAGAGGCCCCCAGGAATATCGGCAGCCTGATAACTGAGCTGACTGTCTCCTCTGCCCAGCCCAGGGGAGCTGTCATGGATCCCCTTCAGGCAATAACCACACATTTCACAAAGCCAACATTGGCGTTCTAACCTCATGACAGGTCCCCACTCGTCCTGAGTTCACCTTCATGTCCCGGGACCCCGAGCTAAGCTTTTAACAGGCACCCTCGAACTTCAGCGGTTGTCACGGGTCCCCACTGTGGACAGGACTCTGTTCATCACACACCTGTGACGCTAAACCAGCGAACCTGTCTAGACTCCTGATTATGATCAGCTGCAGAGGTCAGCCACGCTGGAGGTGCAGAATGCTCTCACAAGCCGCTTCACCTTCACGGGACATCGCCACCTTCACAGCGACATCAGACAGGAAGGACGAGCAAGCAGCATGTGTTATCACCAGACCCTGCAGGCTGAGGTCCCAGATAAGGACTCGAGCTGGAGGGCAGCCTCAGGGAAGGAGCTGGAGCTGAGCTCAGGCAAACACAGCTCGGAGTGGCTGCTTCTCCGGGGTGTCAGGGACAAGGAGGAGCTCGGCACAGGCCCTCTGTGCGTCTCTATTACACTACAGTCATTTCCTGCATGCCTCAGGGCACTAGGACCAGGGTAGAACTAGGAGAGTGCACAGAGGGAAGAAGCCACCCTCTGCCTCCGTCTGCCGCAGTGAGGCAGGGACCCAGCCGTCAGCGTGCTGGCTTTCTCTGCTGCTCCGATGTTATAGTGCAAAACTTAGCTGTTGTAACCATTTTGTGCGTGAGCACATCCCTGTGTGTACTCACATGGGCAGGTGTGCATGCGATGTGTCCGCCGTCACACGAAAAGTGAAGGGCACTGCCAGGCGTCACCTTACAGCCCAAGACTCGGTGGAGCTGGAGGTCTCCGACTCACTAGGCTGCCTGGCCAAGGGGTGTCCTGTCTCGGCAGCCAGGGCTGGGAGCTGGGCGTGCAGGCAGCCACCACCCCGTTTTGTTTTCACACGGAGTGCTGGGGATCTGACCTTGGGTCCTTGAACTTCCAGGGCAAGCTGCTCACTGGACGAGCCATCTCTCCAGCCCCACTCTTCACACTTCTAAGCCACTCACGCTCCATGCGGCCACCACCACCATCCTTCTCTAGAGCGTTTCCGTTTTCCCAAGTGGAACCTCTGTACCCACTGAGGCAGCAGCCCAGCCCGAGCCCAGCACCCACCATGTTGCTCTCTGCCTCTGAAGGGACTGCTGAAGGGACTGCGTCTGGTGTGACAGACTCCAGTGTCTGGTCCGTTGTGACTAACTCCCTTCAGTTTGCACGGTTTCCAAAGTAGAATGTCCTTACGACTGCAGGCCAAGCCACATGCACTTGCTCCCCTCACTGAACATAAACTCCACCTGGGTGCTCTGATCCCAGTGCCCCTGGACCCAGTGTGCGGCTAGGCAGGCCATGAGCCGCCCTCTCAAAACAGCCAGCATGAGGGTGCAAAGCCTGAGAGAAATGTCCCCATGTCCCATGAGGTAGGCCTTTCCCATCCACAGACACTCATGGCACAAGTTCATGCTCACACACAGGACACACAGGACCCTGCTCTGGCCAGCTCCCCTCCAGCCTCCTCTATTGTCACACCCGGGTCAGACCTGCTGCTCCGTAGACGCCTCCCTTGTGTTGGCTTCCTGTGAAAACCACAACACTGTATCATGAACTGAGGGTCTAAAGTCACAGAAACCTGTTTTCTCTGAGTCCTGGGTGACAGAGTTCAAGGTCAAGGCATAAGCAGAACCCGACTCCCTCTGCCCGATGGAAGGAGAGGCTCACGCTCACGTGGCTATGGCCACAGCTCTCTGCTTGCTCTCTAGGGCCGCCACCAAGGGCCCCCGCGCTGTAACTCTGCTGTACCTGCTCCTTATGAGATGTCTAATTGGGTGTAGGCTCTGACCTAACCTGGCACAGCTTCACCTTGTCCCTTAAACTACTTAATTCCCAAAGACCCTTTCCTGAGCAAGGTCACATTTCCAGGCTTGGGGTGGGTGTGAATTTGGGGAGGACACCCTTCAGCCACAGCAATGAACCCCAATCACTAAGGCCTATGGTCTGTCTTGATGTCTTATACACACGTATTTGGGATGGTAAAATCAGAAAGAAAGAAAAAACATGATGCTTCCCACTGATATTTTTAAGTGAAAGAAACATATTAAGGGGAAGATTTAAATATAGAAAAATTGAAAGAAAAGTAACAACACCCACACAAACTTGCAGCTCAGAAATGGATCAAAGTTCATAGTCTGGAGAACGTTTTCTATGTGCATACAACACACATCCACAGACACGCACATGCTATCGTAAGAAGGCAACATGTGCAGGGGGCGCATGCTTCTGAGTTTGCCTTCCCTCATCACTGTGGTGTGGACCGTTGGCCACACGCCTCCTTGTTCAGGCATCGGACTAGGGCCTGCTGTGTGGACGAGGTCCTCTTGCCAGGGCCAGAGGGTCATGTGTCCCATGCGGGATGAGAACCATGGAAAAGCAAGATGAAGGAGTGGTGACAGAGTTCTGGGAGGCAGAGGTCATGACCCCAAAGCCAGCCACCTTGGAAAGATGATCATTGGCATCGCCTTGAGTTACAACCACATACTAGTCCGTGGATGTCATCTGCGACGGTGTTTGGTAAGGGCTATTGAAGGACAAGTGGGTTAGCATGTCTCTATTGTTAATCTTGGCTTCCTCAGGGTTTTTAAGTAGTTTTATTTGCATTGCTTTTGCTTCGCTGTCGTTGACCAGGATGCCTGAGCTTTCTGGCTCAGTATTTTCTTCTCTGAGAAACACAGTACCGGCTCTCTGTTGCCACTGTTATAGCCAATTGTCTGTGCTCTCGAAAGTGGGGGCATGCAGGCTGTGTTTTGAGGATATTTTTTTCTGATTTGCCCTCTTATATTTTTTAATAGACATTTAAATTTTTATGTTGTCAAAAATATCGGTCTTTTAGTGTATCTCCTAGATTCCTAATGTGGATTTAAAAGGGGCCTTCTCAACTCTTAGTGCTACTTTTAAAAATAGCATCTTCCTCACTTACTGCTGTAGTTTTATATTTTGCATTCAAATCCTTGATCTGTCTAGAATTTTCTGTGACATTTAAAGAAGGGAGAGTCTCTGCTCAGTCCAAGTGGGCCACCACTGTCCCCGGCATGTGCGGATGAAAGCCCTGAAGATGGTCCTGGCCTTTTTACCCATCCGGCTTCCTGCATGGCCCTTCCACCTCTAGCATGCCCCGGCCGCTGCTCGGCCCTCTCTCTGGCTTCTCCCTGGCCTCTGGCGTCTTAGTGTTGTTTTCCAGGTTCTGTGTCTTGCTGTTCTTCTCACTCTCCGATCTCTAATTCATCCTCTGCTCACTTGGGCAGACCCTTCCCCACAGCGAAGCATCCACACCAGTAATCACAGCTCTCTACTCACACTAGGGGATAACTCCTGGATCTAGGGCCTGCCTTCACCCTGTGTCCTCTCCAGACAGGGCACCAGGATGTCTTCAGATGTGCCAAACTGAACCAGCCCCACCTCTCCCATGTCTGTAATGACCCCCCTCAACACACACTCAGTGGTCCCCAAGTTCTGCTGCTTATACCTTTTCTTCAGCCCCAGATCACGGCCACCTCTTCTCACTGGCAGCTTCTTCCTTCCTTCATGTCTTCCAGCATCTGTAATCCAGGGCTTGACAGTTCCTATGGTTTTACATTTTGCAAGGTTTATAGAAAATAGAGGAAGAAGGAACAGGAAAAGAGGGAGGGAAAAAAGGAAAGAGGGTAGGAGGAAGTAAAGAGGGAAGAAAGGAAGAAGCAAAGGAAAGGAGGGGGAAGAAGGGAAGAGGAAGGGCAAACACTGCACTTTGACCTCTTTCCGTCTAACTACGGTCTTCTGCGGTTTCTGACATTTACTGTTTTATTTGGGGGTAAAGGGCTGCAGCAAAACAGCTGAGGGGAGCTGTATCTTTGGGCGCTCCAGGGGCTCTCCATAGCACAGGGACCATTTACAGAGTCATATTGTGATAAAAATACTCACTGTCAAATTTAACACTTTAGCCATCGTAAACACACTTCTGGGGCACTGAGTGAAGTGTCACATTCTGGAATCACCCTTGCTGGCCTTTCCTGAAGCTTCTTATCATCCCAAACAAACAATTCCAGTCCCTGCTATGTACTTTCCTACCCTCTGTCTCTCCATATTTCCTCACAGACATGCGGTCACATTATTATGATTTGGCAGCTGTCTTCTGTCACTCAGAATGGTGTCGTCAAGGTCATTCACAGTGTAGCTATGGAAGAATTGCCTTCTTCTGAGAGTGAATTCCCTCTTTCTCTTTCTGCTCATCCATTCCAGAACTGACAGGAGACGGTTATTTCCGCCTTAGTCTCTGTGAAGACGGCTGCTGGGAAGGCTCACACAATAGCCATCTGAGCCCTTGCTTCCCATTCTGTTGAGTTTCGATCCCAAAGCATGGTTGCTGGACCAGGGGCTCTGCCTGGCGCTTTTTTATTTAACTTTTAAGGGGTTGCCTATATGTCTGTGTGTGGGCTATATATATGTCTGGCCCTTGAGAAGGCCAGAAGAAAGCATCAGGGTTCCCTAGGACTGGAGTCACTGATGGTTGTGAGCTGCTATGGAGGTACTAGGAATTGAACCCAGGTCCTCTGTGAAGTGATCTCTCCAACTGCGTGATATTTAACTTTTGAGCAACTGACTGCTGTGTCCTATGGCAGCTGTGGGGACTTCCACCCCTATCAGCAATGAATCCAGGCTCCTGTCTCTCCACTTCTCACCAATACCTGTAATCTTCCTCTGTCCTCCTTTTCATAACAGCCTTTGCAGTGTGTATGATTGTGGTTTCGATTGGCATTTTTCTAATGTCCAGCTCTGCTGAATGCAGTCCGGGCTTACTGGCCGGTTGTGCGGCTTCTCGGGCCCATTTCCATGTGGGCTGGTTCTTGGTTTTCAGCTGAAGGCGCCCCTCACACCTCCCAGCTACTAACGGCCTGCAGAGCGCTGGTTGGAGCTCACTCTGTGGGTTACATCTGTCTTCTTATCTGGCGAGCCGTGCTCAACACGGGCCACGTGTTCGTGCACAGAGGACACTGAGCTGCTGAAACTGGGCCAACCGGGTGGGGACAGCGCCCCTGTTGTCTACCCGACACTCACTGTGAGAGCCCCTCCAGACTAACGGGCCCACGTGTCCTCCTCCTTCAAGCCCAGTCAGTCAATCACAGACGAAGCACGTTCCTACAGGACCTGCTCCTCAGCAGCGGGAGCTGGAGGCAGGCAGTCAAGAAGCAGAGAGATCACGCTTCAGCCAGGGGTAGGGCAGACCACGCAGCCTCAAACTCAGCCCGTGCCGCGTTCTGTGCTTCCCGAAGCAAGGCGGCGAGGGCCTCATCACCCTGGGCACTGAGTGTTCAAACACACGAGCCTGGGGGCTGTCCTCCTGCAGACCACAGCCCAAAAGACACTGTCTGTGCATGGGCTGTGACGACGTAGGAGCAACGTTCCCGGTGCAGCTGCAGCGCGCACTACCACGCGGCCTGGAGTGGTCCAGAACCTCATTCAAATCGCCCCTCAACGCCACACTGTGGGAGTACTGTCAAATGCCACCGATGGCATTTCCTTCTGCAGTTCCTCTGAACACACCTACATGTCGGCCCTGCTCACACCTCACAGCCAGAATAGCCCCTTCTCCCCGGACATGGCTCCGGCGAGGTCACCGGCACAGTAAGGAGCCGTCCCTGGCGCCTTCGCCTAGCCACCCCCGCTGTCCTCTCCTGGCTGGTGTTGTCCTTCCTCCGGGCACCGGGCTCCGCGTCAGCCTCTTCATGCTCCCAGGGTTGCCCTCTCGGGCGTTTCTTTCACCTCCGCACTGTTTCCGCCCTTTACCCCGTGATGGTGCACACGGCGACCGGGGCCTGTGGCCTCGGGGAAAGGAGCACCAGGACCACCTTCTCCCGCTCCTAGAGAGGCCGGGCTCTCCCACGTTCTTCTCAAGTCACTAGAATGTCGCTTGCATCTGCACTTTCGCCACCACTAACCAGTTAGTGAGTTCAGTTAACCCACGCTAACTCTTGCACACACAAACGCGTGCGTTCTGTCTTGGCCTTCCTACCTCCCTTCAGCCTTTCTCTTAGCTGCTCCCCTGAATGACATCGCTTCTGTCTTCTTAGAGGCAGTGTATATTCCTGGCTGTAAAATTAGAGGTAGACTCGATAGCAGAGGCAAAAAGTGTAATGGCCAATCACAGCCCTGCTCTTTCTTACTCCTAGACAGAACGCAGGCCCCACACTGTCCAGGACACAGCTTCCTTCCCCTCTTCACCGAACCCCCACAAACACATACACCATACCATAACAAAGGAAAAGCTGCAAGAGCGAGCATGCCCACTGCTTAAAACCCTGGTCCTAAAAGTCATGCCCCACTCAGGATGGAGCCTGACACCGAGGCCACCCAGACAGCAGGCGGCAGGACTGTGACACAGGAACAATGGGAATAAAGCCAAGTCACACACATGATCAGCAAAGGCAAAGCATCTTCCTTGGGACCTCAGCGCTGAGCAGAGGTAACCAGACTGCCAACGCAGGACACGGCAAGCCTTCATCCGCTCGGGGGAGGAGGAGGCGCCTGCCATTTCCTCATCAATGAACAATGCTTAATCGATGCACGTGATTTTAAGCAGTCTTCCCCTCGGATGCACAAACGTCTTGAGTTTGGCGAGCCCTAAGTTATAGCCTCAGTCAAAATGTTTCTCAAAAGTTGGGTAGATCTGTGCACGGGACAGAGTGGAACCTGATGGAGGCTGAGACACCAAAGGGCACAGAGTGATATAAAGACAGACTAGTCAGTCTTCAGTTATTTATCCCTCCAGTCTCTTCAGTGTCTAACGGGGCTTTGAAAGTTCCTGAGAAGACACCCAGACAGCTCTTACCATGATCCGTGCAACAGGCTGTTACCAAAATGAGTGGGGCTAAGTGTGCCTCCAAAGTTGGTGAGTTTTCTGAGCACTGTGAGCAGGCGAATCTACTGCATGGATGGGGTCTTCACTCAGGGGCCCTTGCTCCTTGCCTTTGTTGGTTTTAGCTCTCTGGGTGTTTGGGCTTGGCCTAATCATATGGGCTTCCCACGCAGTAAACGCTCTGGTCTGTGGCCTGATGCTTGTGACAGTGGTGCAGAGAGCACAGGGACAGATCGGGGCGGGGCAGGGGATGCTCCCTGACCTTCCCATAGGGTGATGGTTAACACCACCGACCTGACAGAGAATTGCCCAGGAGACAAGCATCTGGAACTTCTAGACTTGGTTAGTTGGGACATGTGCCCACCTAAATCTGGGCGATACCATCTCACAGAATGACATAAAAGCAAGGCAGCAGCACCATGAGACTCCATAAAAGGGAGCAAGCAGCTAACATGAGCACACAGCTCTGCTTCCTGGCGTGTAACCAGCAGCCAAGAGCTCCTGCCACCGTGCCCTCCTCCAGTGTGACGGACTGCACACTCGAACTGTGAGCCAAAATAAGCCCTTCTTCCCTTGAGCTAGCTTCTTTAGACAGGTGTTTTGTCATGGTGGTGAGAAAAGTAACTAAAAGAGAAGGTAACAATTAAGGGCCAGAATCTGTCCATCTTTGGTTTCCTGGCCGTGATCTCTCCCTTTCTGAGTCCTGAATACAAAGAGGACGGGAATGTGGTCCTCACCCCGAAGAGTCAGCAGACGCTCTCTCCAGGCTGCCCAAAGCACCACCAGCTCCTTGGCCTTCCAGAGAGGTTCCTCGGTTCTCGGTGGACACCTGGAGCTGGAACAAAGCCACTGAGTCAAAACCCCGGAGAGTAGCTTCTAGTTGGGGACCGACTCCCTCACAGTGTAGCAGAGTGTAAAACGCTCCGAAGGCTGTGGGCAGGCGGCTAGTATTCAAGCCCTCTCCTTCCACCTCGGGACTCAGAGAGACAAAAAGGTTCAGGGTAGCCATGCGTCAAATGCCTGCCGGTGGTCCAGGCTCAGGGTGCTTCAGGCCCACTGTGGTCTCTGCGAGCCTGCAGCAAAGCCTGCCCAGACTGCCTTGGCTTGATCTCAGTAGTCATCCAGATGCAATCCTAGGTGGAGGCCACTGAGGAAGGATGAGCAATAAGGGCTCAGGAAGAGTGGGGACCAAAAGCATCCCCCGGGATAAGGGCCTTGGCAGGATGGAAGGCCCTTGGATGGAACGCTCCACCCACATACCTTGCCCACCTGAGGCCCCTCCCTACTTCTCCAATCCAGGCCTTGCATATGAGGGGGCGATGGGGAGGAGAAAATTTTCTTGTTTACAAATTGAAGGGCCACTGAGGTCAAAGATCTGAAGAACAAAGCTATCAAATCACACAATAGGCTCCGTAGATCGGGTCCTTCCTTGGGGAGAAACTGAAAAACAGAGCCATGCAATTGATTTTAAAGGGAACTAACCCGCCATACGCTAATCAGCTATAAGGTTGATCCATGAAGAAAGTGGGAGCCATGCAGGCCCAGCCCTGGCTGTTTGCTTACTCAGGTGAGCAGCAGTGTCTTCTCCTTGAACCAAAAGGAAAACTCAGGCACCGCTGGCAAATGCCTAGCTTAACTAAAGGACGCAAGTGAAAGCCTGGGGGAAGAAAATGCTCATAAAACTTTCAGCAACTCTGAAATTACCAGCTAAACAAGTCATTCCAGACAGCAGTTTCTATGCATTTAATAGCAGAGGCCGGTCTAAAATTCCCTCTGCAACCGAGAGAGCACTCCTAATGCATTGCTAACTGGTACAGTCTTCAAGAAGGCTATCAGAAAGAAGTAACTCCGCAGCCAAAGTACAGATGCTCAAAGCTGAGGCAGAAAGCGAACCAAATGTGTGACTACACAGAGAGAGAACATTTCTCCATGCTTCTTTTTAACCTTGGCATTGAACCAACCATTAAAATATGAGGCATGCATCCTTCCCCACAAAACCCAGAAAGTGGTTAAGCCCTGGAGTCTGAGCAGCACTTAGAGAACTTGCTCAAAAGTCTTGCCCTGAATAAAGAGTAATAAAGAGCAACTTACTACCAGACGATGTTTCAGGACGTGCCAGGCAGGCCCGTGTCACCTGTGAGGTTTCACTTTTCTTTGTCAGGACCCCATGAGTTGGTCCAGTGGGCATTTCACAATGGAGAAATAGAGGCTGTTGATTTGGAGAGTGTATTTGCTGGCCAGAGCTGCTTTAACAGACAAGAGAGTCATTGTCTTACTGTTCTGTTTTAGAGACTGGAAGCCCACAGCCTCTCTCTCTCTCTCTGTATCTGTGTGTGTGTGTGTGTGTGTGTGTGTGTGTGTGTGTGTGTGTCTGTCTGTCTTAGAGATGGCGTCTTTCACTCTGTGTGGCCTTCCACTTGACCACATACCCTGCATCTCTCTTCTTCTAGGGGTAGACATGGTTATATTAGATTAGGCCCTGCTCAACCTGTAACTGTCTCCTTGAAGGCTTGTATTGGTGGCTGCTCTCATCGCTGTGACAGAACAGCTGAGGAAAGCAACTTAAAGGATGGAGTTTCTTTGGGCTCAGAGCTTTCAGGCACAGCGACAGGAGCGTGAGGCGCTTGGCAAGTGTCCCACTCGGAGAGCAGAGGGAGGTGACTGCTGATGTTTTTATTCCATGTGGGTCCCAGCCCATGAGATGAGCGCCCACATGCAGAGCAGACCTCTGCTCTTCAGTTGACTCTTTCTGGAAGCATCCCTCATAGACGTACCAAGAGATGTGTTTTCATGGTAGTTCTGAATCCAATGAAGTTGGCAAGCTTAGCTACGAGGGTTCAGTCCTGACAGACAGTCACACTGGACTTCAGGCTCCACCCACGTGTCTGGGGGCACCACCCCTCAGTTGTATCAGCAGGTGGACATTCATACTGGTGAGTGATAGAGCCAGGCCTGTTTGAGTTCCAAGAGTGAGCATGGCGTGTTAGCCTGCCGTGCACTAAATATGTGGTTCTGTTACCTGCAGAAACAAAAACAAAATCATCTCATTTGCACTCTCTTCTTCTCTTCAAACTTGCAGCTAATGTCCTGGAGGGCGACTCCATGGACCAGGACGTGGAAAGCCCAGTGGCCATTCACCAACCAAAGTTGCCTAAGCAGGCCAGGGATGACCTTCCAAGACACATCAGCCGAGACAGGACCAAGAGGAAAATCCAGAGGTACGTGAGGAAAGACGGGAAGTGTAATGTCCACCACGGCAACGTGCGGGAGACGTACCGGTACCTGACGGACATCTTCACCACCCTGGTGGACCTAAAGTGGAGATTCAACCTGCTTATCTTTGTCATGGTTTACACAGTGACGTGGCTCTTCTTTGGGATGATCTGGTGGCTAATCGCGTACATCCGGGGAGACATGGACCACATAGAGGACCCTTCGTGGACTCCCTGTGTCACCAACCTCAACGGGTTCGTCTCTGCTTTTTTATTCTCAATAGAGACGGAAACCACCATCGGCTACGGCTACAGGGTCATCACGGACAAGTGCCCTGAGGGCATCGTGCTGCTCTTAATCCAGTCTGTGTTGGGGTCCATTGTCAACGCGTTCATGGTGGGATGTATGTTTGTGAAAATATCCCAGCCCAAGAAGAGGGCGGAGACACTGGTCTTCTCCACCCACGCGGTGATCTCCATGCGGGATGGGAAACTGTGCCTGATGTTCCGGGTGGGGGACCTGAGGAACTCCCACATCGTGGAGGCCTCCATCAGAGCCAAGCTGATCAAGTCCAAACAGACTTCAGAGGGGGAGTTCATCCCCCTCAACCAGACTGATATCAACGTGGGCTACTACACCGGGGATGACCGCCTCTTCCTGGTGTCGCCCTTGATTATTAGCCATGAAATCAACCAACAGAGTCCCTTCTGGGAGATCTCCAAAGCCCAGCTGCCTAAGGAGGAACTGGAGATCGTGGTCATCCTGGAGGGAATGGTAGAGGCCACAGGTAAGACGCTTCTGTCCTGGGTCCTCCACGGGAAAGGTGGCCAGTTGAAACTCTCTGGTGTGAAACTCTGAGCCAATGAGTCCTGTACCCTTAAGTACATGCTCTGAGTTGTCTAGCCATGTTGCCTTTCAACTTTCTGAATTTTAAGATTTGGTGGTGATGGTTGTTGTTTTTATCTGTGTGAGTATTTTGCCTGTGTTTTTGTATGTGCACCTCCTGCGTGCCTGGTGCTGATAGAGGCCAGAAGAGGGCACCAAATGCCCTAGACCTGAAATCACAAAACAGTTGTGAGGGGCCATGTAGGCTGGGAAAGTGAACCAGGGCCCTCTGCAAGGGCATCCAGTGCTGTAAACTCAGAGTTGGAGAAACTCAGCTTTCACACATCTTTGCTCACGTCTAAAGTTCATATGTGCTATGTGCTCCGCATTCTGAGAGCAAAGCGCACTCTGCCCACATCCATGGTGGGCAGTGACAGAGCTGCAGACAGACCTCCTGGAAACAGCGTGAATCCAGTCCCCGCTCCAGCAGTTCTTCATAGCTCTGCGTCGTTGCTACCCAGTCTGGTCCCTTTTACCCACAGCCTGTCCTGTGTTTGGAGACCTCTAGCTTTGAAGCGCCAGGTTGGTCTGTGTCATGAGAAAATGTATGGGTTGGCCTAATTCTTCATTAACCTGATATCCTTTTCCAAAGGAAAGTCCCTGCTCCCATGCTTCTATCCCCCTGTCTCCTACACCAACAGGAGACAAAGTCACAACTCCGACCAAGTAGTTCTTAAGGCGAAGGGACAACTTGTCCACTAAGGTTTTCAAGTTTGGCAAACTGAAAATGTGACTCTCTGGGGCCCAGAAGTCTGCTTTCTGCAGAACAAACAGAACTTTAAAGACTAGGAAGATTCGCCTGGCCCTCTGTATCTAAGGACCCATATCCAAGGATTCCACCAAGCATGGATCCAACACAGTTTTTTAAAAACGTCTGGTCTCAATGCCAGGCGGTGGTGGCACACGCCTTTAATCTAAGCACTTGGGAGGCAGAGGCAGGTGGATCTCTGTGAGTTCAAGGCCAGCCTGGTCTACAGAGTGAGTTTCAAGACAGCCAGGGCTACACAGAGAGAAACCCTGTCTCAATAAGTAAAACAAAACAAGCAGCATCTGGTGCTGAACACTTTCCTGTTTTCTGCCATTATTTCCTACATAGTGTAGTATAAATATTTATGTAACATTGTATTAGGTATTACAAGTACTCTAAAGATGGTCTAAAGTATGTGGATGAGTGTGTGTCTATGCAAACACAACTGGTTTGTAAGAGGGACTTGGGCGTTTGAAGATCTGGGTATCCTTGGCAAGCCCTGGAATCAATGCCCTCTGGATCTGAGAGCTGTTTATCTCACACCTGCTCTGGAGCCAGGCCCAGGCCTGTAAGTTTGATGTGCAAAGAGGAGTGAGAAACTGTCTTTCTCGGGGGAGCAGCTGCAGCCCGCACCGGGATAGGAAGACTGTTGCTTACCTCTGAGTCATAAGCCTTTGGTTCCTGAGAGGCCTCAGTCTGTATGGAGCTGGAGCCTTGGCTGGGGGCTGTGGAATTCTAAGTAGGTGCTGCAGATGGTAGCGGGGCTAGCAGCACTTTGGACTTGAGATTTCTGTGTTCTCCTGAGGTAATAATTAACTGGAGCAGAGGGGAAAGAGGAAGAAGAAAGGGGAGAGAGACAGACACAGAGACACACAGGGAGAGAAAGAAGGGGAAAAAGATGGGAAAAGGGAGGGGAGAGGAGGAGGGAGGAGGAAGGAGGGAAAGGAGTGAGGAAGAAGAGAAGGAAGTAAAAGAAGAAGAGGAAAGACTGAGGACAGTGAGTAGAGAAATGAGAAAGGGACCCTTGAGACAGGGACCTCTGTCCCTCTCAGGCTGACCAGCAAGCACAGTCCCCGTGGTGCCTGTGGAGACACAGCCCGTGCCGGCCATCCAGTGCTCCCTTCCCACCGACAGGACCTGGGTGGGTAGTGAATGCCCCCGTGCTGGCCTCTGCACACAAGAATCCAGGCTCTGGCTGCCAGTGGCAACCCCCCCCCAACAGCAGCAGCCAAGCTCTGTGCTCCCTCCAGCCAGAGCCTCAAAATATAAATGAATTTGAGCAAGAAAATCACTTCTGCACTGCCCCCAGGGTAGATCTTGTCTTTCTGATGACAGCTCGCACAGAACAAGCCTATTGGAAGTGAGAAGCATCCTCTTCATGGAAACTCCCAGCGATGTTCGCCTGGGAGCACACGTGCCTTTCCGAGGGTTCGTAGCCGCACCTGGCTAGTTGCCAGCAAAAAGAATCAAACTGTCCGCCACTCACGAGAAAAGGCAGCCGGTGCTGATCAAATATGTGCTTTTAATATACTCAAATACACACATGTGTATACACGCACACTTGTACATGTGTGTGTATAGATCGTATATACATGTATGTGTGTTTGTGTGTGTATAATAATTTCCGGTTAGAAGAGGAAAGGCGTTCCAGAACATTCTGGGGGTGTTGCCAAGCTGATACATCTTGGTCCTTTCTGCGTGGGCTTCGTACAGCTCAGTATCTCCCACATAATTGGCTTCTGAAACTTCAGCAGGGACATGGTCTTCGAAAACGAAAACTACAATTGGGATTTACAGGCAATTAAAGAAAGGAAAAAAATAAGGAGAAAAAAGTTTCAATGCCTCAAGGCTACAGAGAAAGAAAAATGTGCAGACTGGGGGAGACGAATTGAGAAGGGATCCGATGATGCCCTGAGGTGCAGGCCTGGAGGGTGCTGGCCCAGAGCAGCTTCCCAGGAGCTCAAGACTTCTCTCAAAACTGTCCCTGCTGGGCCAGACAGATGACTCGGAGGTTAAAAGGACTGGATATTCTTCCAGAGGACCCAAGTTCTATTCCCAGCACCCATGTGGTGCCTCAGGTCCAGTTGCAGGGATCCGGCATCCTCTCTGGCCTCCGAGTACACTGCACGCAGCTTCTGCATGAACATGCATGCAGGGAAAGGCCCATGCACATAAAATAAAATAAGAATTTTGAAAAGGCTACAAAAGCCTGTCCCACTGACAGCGCCCAGCCGGGTCCAGGGTTGAGATTACTGTGTCTGTATTTGCAGACCACTCTCCATCAGGGTTCCACATGCCCTTCCTTCTTCTCTTTCTCCCTTGGCATGTCATGTGTGTATATACAGCAGACTTCCACCGTGACCGGTGCCTACCCTCCCCCTCCAGCATCACCTACTGCCGCAACTTCCTCCCCACATTTTTCAATAACCTGCTGGGTCTAAGCGGTGAAGCAGAGGCGAGCCCCCAGCCTGAAAAACACTGGCTCTCTCTTCCCCGGCCACCACTGCCAGCATCTCCTTCACTGGAGAAGGGCCTGGTGGGCCCCTCCCCCGCCCATGGAGACAGCCGCCCAGTTGATGGTGTGCGGCCTTTGTGCAAACAGCACAGCCGCTGTGAGTTCGGAGGCAGCACCCTGTGCAGAAATGTTGCGTCCGCCTCCCTGACCTCCGGCTCCTACAACCTTTGCACTCCCTCTTCCAGAATATTCTGAATGTGGGGGGTAGAGACGGGCTGTTTGTGGCAGAGCACCCCACAGTCACCAATTCTCTGCACTCTGGCCATCCACGTGCCCTTTCCCTCCCCACATCACGGCCTCTCGGTGACCTTGACTGCAGCGTATTCTGGACACCTGAGCTATCTTGCAGTGACCCGAGCACCAAGGTCTGGGTCTGCTGGAGCTCAGCTGGACGGGCAGCAGGGGCCATGTGGGCAGCCCAGGCCAAGAGCGCTGCGGACACTGGCAGCGGGAACCCCGTCCCAATGCCAACTCCACTGAAGAAGGTGAAATCAAGGGTCATGGACTGTGGCCTGCTTGCCTGTCACACTAGAGACCCTGGACTGGACCCTAGCTCCACATAAAACTGGGTGAGGCAGTGCATGCCTGTAATCCCAGCACTCCTGCAGTGGAGGCAGAGGATCAGAAGTCCAAGGTTGTTCTCAGCTACACAGTGAATCCCAGGACAGCGTGGGATACAGGGGACCTGGAGAGAGAGGGGGATGGGGAGAGAGGGAAAGAAAAAGAGAAAGAGGGAGAGAGACTGAAAAATCCCCTTGGAGGCAGGCAGCAAGCCTTAATGCCATGAAGGGATCCACCAAGGTCCAGCTGACACTAAAGGACAGGCACGCATTCCACAAGGACGGTTTTGTCCCAGTCCTGCCTGTAGTCCAGGGAGCGGGAGTGTGATCGACACAACCTCCCCAGAACCTTCCAGTCATGTGATTCTATTTTTGAACATAAATCAAACCCTGGAAAATTCTGGCATCAGCCACCCAGACACCCCAGAGCTGACTGTGTGTCATCTGCAAATATATTTTTGAAGGGGCCTTTATGTCCCCGACACATAGGCAATTTTGAGGTAGTGATGTTTACAGAAGGTTTCTCAGCTACGTAAACAACGCTCGGCAGCTGTGGCAAATGTGCGTTAAAATAGTAGAGCATTCGTACAGACTGTTATTTATAGAGGGCAAATGGGCCTCGCAGCTAGATGACAGCCGCCCAGCGCTGGGCCCCGGGCCATGCCTCATTGCAGCCTTTCTGATTGAACTTCCATATTTACCCCCAGCGATTATGCAGCTATGACAGGCAGCCGGAGCCAGTACCCTGAGTGCGTGCCTTGGTGGCACATACCTCCATTAAGCCTTTTGGGGTTTGGGATTTACACTTTTTATTCTGAAAACTGTACCACTGGTAGAAAAATTAGCCAAACCGTATCATCAACCCCTAGGAGCCTGCCATTTGGTTCTGATAATTGTCCGTCTATGCTGTTACTTACTAATATTCCCCAGCATCACACAGTTTTAACTAGAAATGTCTTAGTCCTTTTCTACAGAAGATAAGATCTCTCTGTTTTTCAAAAGTGGATGTATTCTGTTTTGATTGTTCGGTTGGTTGACTGGTTGGTTGAGTGAGTGATGACTGGTTGGTTGAGTGAG